CCAAGAAGTCAATTTTCCCACATTTACATTTTTAGACACAGCTCTTTAATCTGCACTAGTCTGAACTGGTGCATAACCCAGGGAGCCTGGTCTTCTTACCAGTCCAAGATTGAGTGCATATCCCATGTAGCTGAATCTGCCACCGAGGGCTTCCCTCGCCAGGTCTAAGGATCTTTCATCTGTGCAAATACCAATCCAGTACATATTCTGTGGAAGCCACGCTCTTTAATACATGCTGATTGGAACTAGCACATATTCCATGAAACCCAGCCTGTGACCAGAGGTCTCTCCAAGGACAATTAAATATCCAGTCCTCCAAAATAAGATGTATGTTTTGAACTAAAATGTATCTTCTTACATGGACTTCCTGACACTTTCTGTCCCTGCATTCTTATTTGACTCTGATCATATGCCCCTCCGCTGATCCTGATATGCGCACGTGCTCAGGAGTCGGCGGTGGCTAGGGGGGCCTTCGCACAATTGAAGCTCGTGCGCCAGCTGCATCCATACCTCGTGAAGTCGGATTTGGTCGTGGTAGTCCATGCCTTAGTTACCTCTAGATTGGACTACTGCAGTGCGCTCTACATGGGGCTGCCCTTGAAGATGGCCTGGAAATTCCAATTGTTCCAACGTGCGGCAGCCAGACTACAAACTGGCGCGAATCACAGGGAGAGGTTAATCCCCCTGTTTAAGGAGCTCCATTGGCTGCCGTTTATTTTCCGGTCCCAATTCAAGGTGCAGGTTCTTACCTACAAAGCCCTGAATGATTTGGGACCTGCCTACCTGCGTGAACGCATTTCCATCTATGAACCTACACAATCTTCCGGAGAGGTCCTTCTCTCGCTCTGGCCCCCATCGCAAGCGCGACTTGTGGGGACAAGGGAGAGGGCCTTCTCTGTGGTGGCCCCTCGGCTCTGGAATTTGCTCCCCAGAGCGAGCCCCCACCCTGGCAGTCTTTAGGAGGAGCCTGAAAACTTGGCTGTTCCAGTGTGCCTTCAATTATTGAATGTACAATAATCCCTGACCAAACGCTGCATAAAATGCCCTCGGAAGCACTTTATTTTACTTGTTAGTGCAATTAAATCCTACCTTATCTCCCGGATCCCCTGTCCTGATACATTACATTGCCCTCTCACCCAGTGTTTTAAATTTTAATCTTGGCAATTGGCCCTGCCCACTGTGATCAATTTTCTGTGTTTTAACATCCAGATTTTATATTGTTGCTCTGTTTATTTATATTGGTTTTTGTATCTTATGTTATTTTTTTATTTTCTATTTTCTGTTGTGTTCTTGTGTTATATTGTTTTACTGTATTGCTGGGCATGACCTGATGTAAGCAACCCCGAGTCTCCTTGGGAAGATGGTGGCTGACCTGATCTCATTAGGAAGGGAGTTCCATAGCCAAGGGGCAATTACTGAGAAGGCCCTGTCTCTCCACCCTGCCAAATGCGCCTGTGATGGTGGTGGGACCGAGAGCAGGACCTCCCCAGAAGATCTTAATCTCCGCGGTGATTCATAGGGGGAGATGCGTTCGGACAGGTAAATTGGGCCGGGGTCGATTATTATTATTATTATTATTATTATTATTATTATTATTATTATTATTAAATAGATGGGTATTTGTAAAAACATTTGCCTGACACTAGAAAGAAGCAAAACCAAATTATGAATGGAACTATAACTAGTAGAGAACTTACAGAAGTTATTAATAAGGTTTAAAAGGGAAAATGCCTGGATCAGATGGATGATCATATATTTGTTTAGGTTCTTGTGGGTTTTTTCAGGCTATAGGGCCATGTTCTAAAGGCATTTCTCCTGACGTTTCGCCTGCATCTATGGCAAGCATCCTCAGAGGTAGTGAGGATGCACCTCACTACCTCTGAGGATGCTTGCCATAGATGCAGGCGAAACGTCAGGAGAAATGCCTCTAGAACATGGCCCTATAGCCCGAAAAAACCCACAAGAACCTAGTGATTCCAGCCATGAAAGCCTTCAACAATACATATATTTGTTTGTTTGTTTATTTGTTTATTTGTTTGCAGTATTTATATACCACTTTTCTCACTCCTGGAGGGACTCAAAGTGGTTTACAGAGTTGGAATCATAACAGTTGGAAGAGTGGAGAATATTAAGAAATAAAATCTTATTAGAGTTGGATGGACATGGCCTGACATTTGCAGGATACAGATATTTACAGTATAATAAAATTCAAGTGAATTTAGATTTTAAGAGCCATGCTGTAACAACAATCGGGACTAAATATAAAAGTTGAGTATGTCCTTAATTTTTTTTTTTTTACAGAAGACAAATGACAGGAAAAGAAAACTGGTGAACTTATCAAGATTTATCGGTGAAATCTCAAAATGCATATAAAATTAAACATAACAACCAATACTTATCAGAGAGGTATTGTATTTACCTTTGTTTAAGAATTTTAAAATACATAATAAGGGATGTGGTTTGGACCAGATATATCAGAGTTGGAAAAGCAATTAGGCATGGATGATGAACCATTTTATTGTTAAAATGTTTGCACTTCTGTTGAAATTTAATATGGAAAAAGAACAGGTTAAAGATTGAATATGGGATTTAACACAGCTGGTAAATCATCAGCAGTTACAAGATCTATCAACCAAAAGGTTGCAAGCCCAAAGCCCTGGGTCAGCATGAGCTGCTGACTGCCAGCCCAGCTTACTGTTTACCCAAGCAGTTAAAAAATAGCTTTAGTTATAATTAGAGAAATTAGGTACCGCTAAAAGTGGGGAGGTGTTTTATGACACCATAAAGAAAGAAGATTAGAAAATGCTGGGTGACCGAAAGGAAGGAGGAAGTCCTGATGGCTCTTTGTCACAGAGGATGGAGCGACAGAACCCCCTGTGGCTGGATTTGAGCCCAACCTTCCATGGCACCAAAAAGCTGGACATTGAGTCAAAACAACACACCTCCTTCTGTTCTGTCTGTCTTGTATATACAAAGCGGCATTGAATGTTTGCTGTTTATGGGAACTGTGATCCGCCCTGGGTCCCCTTCAGGGTGGGAAAGGCGGAATATAAATAAAGTATTATTATTGTTGTTGTTATTAAGAATTTGGGTTTAAAAAGCTAGAAGAATGGGAACGTATGTGGAAACAAACTTTAAATGCATTTTATGTTATGATTTTAAAGATAGCTTTTTAATATAAAATGGTGCATTGTAGGTATATAAATCCTGAGAAATTGTCTAAGATATATATAAAGATGTTGCCAATACATCTTAGACGTGCGGAAAACAAGAAGGGATTTCTAATCATACTTTGTGGACTTTGGGAAAGCTTTAAAAATGGATACAATATATGAAAAATAGGAGGCAGAAATTATAAGGAAGAGGCAAAGAGGAGGAGCAGGAAGAAGAAGAAGAAGAAGAAGAAGAAGAAGAAGAAGAAGAAGAAAAGAAGAAGAAGAAGAAGAAGAAGAAGAAGAAGAAGAAGAAGGGAAGAAGAAGGAGGAAGAGAGGAGGAAAAAGGAAGAAGAAGAAAAAAGAGAGAAGGAAGGATGAGCAGTAAATGAGAAACATTAGAGGAGAGGAAGAAAAGACAATTTTAGGGACTGATGAGAGGAGCAGTGGAAGGGAAGGATGAAAAAAGGAAGAGAAGGAGAAAAAGAAAGAGGAGGAAGAGAAGGAAGAGAAAAAAGGGAAGGAAAAAAGGGGAGAAGAAAGGGAAGGAAAGGAAGGAGAGGAGGAGGAAGAGAAAAAGAAAAAGGAGGAGGAAAAAAGGAGGAGAGAGGAAGAAAGGAGGGAAGGGGAAAAAGGAGAGGAAGAAAAAGGAAGAAGGGAAGAGGAAGAAGAAAGAAGGAAAGGAAGAGAAGAGAAGAAGGAAGAGGAGGAAAGGAGAGGAAGAAGAAGAAGAAAAGGAGGAGAGGAGGAAGAAAAGAGGGAGGAAAAAGGAGGAGAAGAAGAGGAGAGAAAAGGAAGAGAGAGGAAAAGGAGGAGGAGGAAGAGAGAGAGAAGGAGGAGGAAGAAGAAGAAGAGAGGAAGAGGAGAAAGGAGAAGGAAAATAGGAGCAGGAGGAAGAAGAAGGGAAGGAAAGGAAAGGAAGAGGAAGAAGGAAGAAGAAAAAGAAAGAGGAGGAGGAAAAAGGAGGAGGAAAGGAAAGGAGGAAGAAGAAGAAAGGAGTGGAAGAGGAAAAGGAGAGAAGAAAAAGAAAAGAAGAAGGAAGAGGAAGAAGAAAAGAGAAGGAAAAGAGAGCAGTAGGAAGAAGAAGAAGAAAGAAGAAGGAAGAAGAGAAAAAGGGGAAGAAGAAGAAAGGAGGAGGAGGAGGAAGAAAAAAGTGGAGGAAAAGGAGGAGCAGGAGGAAGAGGAGGAAAAAGGAAGAGGAGGAGGAAAAATATGAGGAGCAGGGGGGAAGAAGAGGAGCAGCAGGAGGAGGAGGAAGAAGAGGAGGAAGAAGAAAGGAGAAGGAAAATAGGAGCAGGAGGAAGAAGAAGGGAAGGAAAGGAAGAGGAGGAGGAAGAAGAGGAAGAAGAAAAAGAAAAGAGGAGGAGGGAGCCGGAGGAGGAGGAGGAGGAGGAAGGAGAAGGAGTAGGAGAAGAAAGGAAGAGGAAGAAGAAAGGCAGTGGAGGAGGAAAATAGGAGCAGGAGGGGGAGGAAGAAGGAGAAGAAAGGAAGAAGAAGGGAGAAGGAAAAGAGGAGCAGGAGAAAGAAGAAGAGAAGGAAGAAGAGAGAGGAGGAAGAAGAAGAAGAAAGGAGGAGGAGGAGAAAGAGGAGGAGGAGGAAGAAAGGAAGAGGAGGAGCAGGAGGAAGAAGAAGAGGAGGAGGGGGGAAAGAAAGGGGAGAGGAGGAGAAAAAAGATGAGGAAGAAGAGGAGGAAAACGATGACGAAGAAGAAGCAGAAGCAGAGTAGCTGTTGTTGTTTGTTGAAGCCCACTTTCCCTCTCCACCATCTCCTGCCCCGATCAAGAGGGAAACTGCCCCTCTCCACAAACGCACACCCAACCACCCACCCACCCCGTCCTCCTCCGTACCATTGCCAGCTCCGCTTTGCCCATCTTCGGAGTCCGCCTTTGCCTTGGCTCCTTGCAACGGGAGCCAGGGGCACTTGGCAAGGCGGGGAGGCCGGCCTTTGGAGGGAGGGGAGGGGCCTAGGACTATGCCCCCCCCCCCACTCCATGCCTCCCTTGGCCATGGAAGCCCGCCGGGTCACACTCTCCCAACCTCACTCAGGTGAAGGAAAGGGCAATATCTTGATCACACACACACAAAACCCACCTCCTGGTAGCTAAGGACTGGAAAGCACACATGCAAAGAAGGAGGCTTCAAGGGCGATTGCATCTACCCAACTTGACACCACTTGAGAATGCCTCATTGCATTGCAATTCTGGGATTTGGAGCATTTTGACAGAGAAAAGGTGCTGCAAAACTACAGCCCTAATGGTTCCCTAGTATTCATTCACCCCTGGCAGTTGAAGGGCTGTCCAACTGCATTCATTCTACACCTCTAACTGACTAGATCAGGTGTCCTCAAACTATGGCCCGAGGGCCGAATACGTCCCTCCAAGGACATTTACCCGGCCCTCGCTCAGGGTCAAACTAAGTCTGACATGACTTGAAAACTCACTTAGGTGATCCCTCATTGTCCGAGGATTATGGTCCTCCTTATTCAGTAGATCCTTAGGTGATTGATTTCATTGTGTAGATATGTCGCAAAACAATACCAGTAACTGGAAAAAAAAAACTACCTACACTGCTGTTGAGTAACTGGACCCCCAGGTTATTACTTACGTCTTACTTACAGAATCATAGAATCAGAGTTGGAAGAGACCTCATGGGCCATCCAGTCCAACCCCCTGCCAAGAAGCAGGAATATTGCATTCAAATCACCCCTGACAGATGGCCATCCAGCCTCTGTTTAAAAGCTTCCAAAGAAGGAGCCTCCACCACACTCCAGGGCGGAGAGTTCCACTGCTGAACGGCTCTCACAGTCAGGAAGTTCTTCCTCATGTTCAGATGGAATCTCCTCTCTTGTAGTTTGAAGCCATTGTTCCGCGTCCTAGTCTCCAAGGAAGCAGAAAACAAGCTTGCTCCCTCCTCCCTGTGGCTTCCTCTCACATATTTATACATGGCTATCATATCTCCTCTCAGCTTCTCTTCTTCAGGCTAAACATGCCCAAGTGCTTAAGCCGCTCCTCATAGGGCTTGTTCTCCAAAACCTTGATCATTTTAGTCGCCCTCCTCTGGACACATTCCAGCTTGTCAATATCTCTCTTCATTTGTGGTGCCCAGAATTGGACACAATATTCCAGGTGTGGTCTAACCAAGGCAGAATAGAGCATGGGTAGCATGACTTCCCTGGATCTAGACACTTCTATTGATGCAGGCCAAAATCCCATTGGAGTTTTTTGCCGCCACATCACATTGTTGGCTCATGTTTAACTTGTTGTCCACGAGAACTCCAAGATCTTTTTCACATGTACTGCTCTCACGTACTTACTTAGGCAATCCCTTGTTGGCCAAGTAGGATAGTCATCCAGGATCAGTGTTCTGGTGGGTCTGTAGGTGACTGTGGAGCCCTATTCTTGATCTGCATCTTTTCCCACACTGAGGGCATTGGTTTCCAGGTGGAAGGCGGTCCCGATCGGAATTGGCTTGACGCGCCTTCCTCTTGGCATGTTTCTCTCTTTCGCCCTCCATTCATGCCTCTTCAAATTCTGCAGCACTGCTGGTCACAGCTGACCTCCAGCTGGAGCACTCAAGGGCCAGGGTTTCCCAGTTCTCAGTGTCTATGCCAGAATTTTTAAGGTTGGCTTTGAGCCCATCTTTTTTTTTTAATAGTAAAGTCTTTATTAATTATTTGACACAATCTCATATATAATCAGAAAATATTCGTTCAGAAATAATGAAATATGTCTGGATCTGTATGTAGATGGCAATTTGTACAAAGTAAGTATAACATATTTTACCATTCACTCGAGTTTAAGGCACTTTCAAAGGAAAATCCATGCAAACTATTCCTAACTAGAACTGTTTCCATCTAGCTAACAGCAATAGTGCCATGAGCCCATCTTTAAATCTCCATGCAATCATGGTGGCCACGTGATCTAGGAGGTGTCTACAGAGAGTGCCAGCTCTTCAGCTTAGAAATGGAGACAAGCACCACTCCTCAGAGTCGGACACAACTCGACTTAATATCAAGTGGAAACCTTTACCTTTACTATACATTGCTGAAGTCCTGTTTTTAGGTGCAATTGGAAAATTTGTATGCATTTTGTCAGCTCAAATCTCGCAAGAACAGTAGTTTGAGACCTCCAGGATAAGTCACTGTACAGTATTGTGGGGAGGGGGGTGACATAGGGAGACATTCAAACACATTGGGAGGAGCCAGCCTAAAAAAATACAGGATGCGTACTGACATAAACAGGCTGTATCCCAATGTGATAAGGTTCAAAGAGTATGCATCTCCTTTGAAATCCTGTGGCTGCTTCCTGCAGAATTCAGTGGTTTGTAGTTTAGGGAGGGGCCCTTCACACCCTCAGCCAGTCTGGTCAACGTTGGTAATTGAGACAACTGCTCTTACTAAGTTTTAGTCAAGCCGGCTGAGCGAATTCTAGTTCCATGTCTTTGTTCATATTTCATGTTTCCAAGTTAGAAGGATAGTTCCTAGATTTGCATTGGATTTTATGCTGCTTTGTACTTCCTGGTTATCTTTTATTCCGGATCTTCAAGAAGGGAAAAAAGGATGACCCAAACAACTACCGTCCGGTCAGCCTCACGTCGATACCAGGCAAGATTCTGGAAAAGATTGTTAAGGAAGTGGTCTGCAAACACTTAGAAACAAATGCGGTCATCTAGTCAACATGGATTTATCAAAAACAAGTCATGCCAGACTAATCTGATCTCTTTTTTCGATAGAGTTACAAGCTGGGTAGATGCGGGGAATGCCGTGGATGTAGCGTACCTGGATTTGAGTAAGGCCTTCGACAAGGTCCCCCACGACCTTCTGGCAAGGAAACTAGTCCAATGTGGGCTAGGCAAAACTACGGTGAGTTGGATCTGTAATTGGTTAAATGGACGAACCCAGAGGGTGATTCTCCCCAATGCTTCCTCTTCATCCTGGAAAGAAGTGACAAGTGGAGTGCCACAGGGTTCTGTCCCGGTCCTGTTCAAAAACAATTGTTTAAACCAGGGGTCCTCAAACTTTTTAAACAGAGGGCCAGGTCACAGTCCCTCAAAATGTTGGAGGGCCGGATTATAATTTGAAAAAAAAAACATGAATGAATTCCTATGCACACTGCACATATCTTATTTGTAGTGCAAAAACACTTAAACAATACAATAATTAAAATGAAGAACAATTTTAACAAATATAAACTTATTAGTATTTCAATGGGAAGTGTGGGCCTGCTTTTGGCTGATGAGATACAATTGTTGTTGTTGTTATTGTGTGCTTTCAAGTTGTTTCAGACTTAAGCTGACCTTAAGCAAGGGCCGGGTAAATGACCTTGGAGGGCCGTATCCGGCCCTGGTCCTGTTCAACATCTTTATTAATGACTTAGATGAAGGGCTAGAAGGCATGATCATCAAGTTTGCAGACGACACCAAATTGGGAGGGATAGCCAATACTCCAGAGGACAGGAGCAGAATTCAAAATGATCTTGACAGATTAGAGAGATGGGCCAAAACTAACAAAATGAAGTTCAACAGTGACAAATGCAAGATACTCCACTTAGGCAGAAAAAACGAAATGCAAAGATACAGAATGGGGGATGCCTGGCTTGAGAGCAGTACGTGTGAAAAAGATCTTGGAGTCCTCGTGGACAGCAAGTTAAACATGAGCCAACAATGTGATGTGGTGGCAAAAAAGCCCATGGGATTCTGGCCTGCATCAAGAGGAGCATAGTGTCTAGATCTAGGGAAGTAATGATACCCCTCTATTCTGCTTTGGTTAGACCACACCTGGAATATTGTGTCCAATTCTGGGCACCACAATTCAAGAGAGATATTGACAAGCTGGAATGTGTCCAGAGGAGGGACTAAAATGATCAAGGGTCTGGAGAACAAGCCCCATGAGGAACAGCTTAAGGAGCTGGGCATGTTTAACCTGAACAAGAGAAGGCTGAGAGGGGATATGATAGCCATGTATAAATATGTGAGAGGAAGCCACAGGGAGGAGGGAGCAAGCTTCTTTTCTGCTTCCTTGGAGACTAGGACACGGAACAATGGCTTCAAACTACAAGAGAGGAGATTCCATCTGAACATGAGGAAGAACTTCCTGACTGTGAGAGCCGTTCAGCAGTGGAACTCTCTGCCCCGGAGTGTGGTGGAGGCTCCTTCTTTGGAAGCTTTTAAACAGAGGCTGGATGGCCATCTGTCAGGGGTGCTTTGAATGCAATATTCCTGCTTCTTGGCAGGGGTTGGACTGGATGGCCCATGAGGTCTCTTCCAACTCTTTAATTCTATGATTCTAGATGTCCTTTTCTAGAAGTGAGGAGGAGCTGAGGAGCCTTCTAATCAAGGTGAAAGAAGAAAGTGCAAAAGCTGGGTTGCAGCTAAACGTCAAAAAAACTAAGATTATGGCAACAAGAATGATTGACAACTGGAAAATAGAGGGAGAAATCATGGAGGTCGTGACAGACTTTGTATTTCTAGGTGCAAAGATTACTGCAGATGCGGACTGTGGCCAGGAAATCAGAAGACTTACTTCTTGGGAGGAGAGCAATGTCCAATCTCGATAAAATAGTAAAGAGTAGAGACATCAGACTGGCAACAAAGATCCGCATAGTCAAAGCCATGGTATTCCCTGTAGTAACCTATGGATGTGAGAGCTGGACCTTAGGGAAGGCTGAGCAAAGGAAGATAGATGCTTTTGAGCTGTGGTGCTGGAGGAAAGTTCTGAGAGTGCCTTGGACTGCGAGAAGATCCAACCAGTCCATCCTCCAGGAAATAAAGCCCGACTGCTCACTGGAGGGAAGGATACTAGAGACAAAGTTGAAGTCCTTTGGCCACATCATGAGGAGACAGCAAAGCCTAGAGAAGACAATTATGCTGGGGA